GATGCTGCTGCCTGCATAGGAGGCTTCACCTAGTTCTTTCTATTCTCGCTTCCCAGAAGGAAAGTGTTTCTGAACTCTCCAAATGCACCGCTGAATTAAGGTAGAAATGTGAAGCTTTTACTACTGCTCGGCATGGCCAGGGATTAGGCACCTGCTGCCTGCTGTCCAGAGACAGAGACGTGCACTGGCTGAGAACTACCTTTCTGTGCTTCCCAAGGGAAAGCCCTTGTGGGTCGCTGTGAGAAATATCACATGGGGCAGGGGACAAGACTGGCTGGGGCACAGATCCATACCTGTGAGGGGGTCTGGGAGCAGCTGCCTCTGTGTGGTCTCTGGGCCCAGCAAAGCCCATGATCTTTTTTGCAGTGGCCTTTCTTTACTGGGGCCACGTGGCACAGGTGCCATCCTCAGCTTTCCAGGGAAGGGGACAGCTCAGAGCAATCTGCGGTTTACCTAGGACACATTGCCCACCAGGAACACAGCTGGGACTAGAAGAGCAAGGCATGTGGTTACAGCCATTTCAGCTGTCACAACAGAGACCCACAGACTGGGCAGCTTGGGCAGGGCAGCGTTGATCCCATCTCCCCATCTAGAAAACAGAGAGGTGGGTCTGATGTGCCATGGGAGGCCCTCCTTAAGTGAGTTCAAGTTCTCTTATTTCACAAACTGCTGCCCAGAAGAGTGAGCCTCTGCAGCCCACAGTGTACCTGGCCTCCCTTCAGGGAGATCAGGAGAGTGTGTGTAGAACAAAGAGGCAGGAGGGGCCTAGCAGAGTCTGGAAGCACTTACATGGGCATGGCGGGGGAGGGGGCCCTGGAGATTCAACCAAAGCAAAGAACTCCCTTTCCCTCCCCAGTTCCAACTGCAACTTCAGCAAATTTCCCATTGCATAATAAAGCTGCCTGCCCAGCTGTGATCAAACCAAGGCTGCTCACTCTTTTGAGGCTGAAATCAAAACCCAGAGTCCCAGAGAACACACGTGAGCCTTTTGTTTCTGCACTGAGGCTGTTTCTGCAGCTGGCAGCCCGGATCATCCCCACCAGCACCAGGACTGCATGGAGAGGCAGCAGCAGTCACCAGTCACAGACCCACAGGGTAGCAGTGATGGAGGTAGGGACAAAAGCCTACGGTTTGGGAAGGACCTAAGAAGGAAGTGGACAGGGTGCTGAGCTAAGAGGGGCAGGAGGGTGCTGCAGAAAGCCCTGCTGGGAACTGAAATAGGGAAGGAGCAGTGTGAGAAGACCTGGGGTGGGGACCAGCAGGTACAAAGGCACTGAGGCAAGGCAAGAGGGGCTTTTGATCAGATCTAGGCAAGATGACATCTTCAGGGTGGACACCACCACCAGGACTCCATAGCTTCAATGCAGCCTACCGTTTGTTAATCTAAACTGCAGCCTCATCCACTTGGCTTCCCAAGCTGCCTATAGGACAGAAAGAGCCTTTCTCTGATTAGAAATGGAGGAACTACTTGCAAGAAGGAAAGAGTGTCTGATCAGATATAGATAGATAGATGATAGACAAGCAGAGCATACATATGTATATAGAGCAAGTAATCCTTGTCAAAAATACCAAATGTTTTATATGGATACTCCTCCCCCTAAGACATGGAGCACAACCTCCATTTCTCAGCTGGAGCTGTGCACAGTGCCTCTTCCTAAAGCATACAAGAAAGGGGTCACTGGAGAAACCTGACACATGACTTCAGCTAGGTGACCAAAGTTAAGTGACAGGTCACACTACAGTAGGCTGTGTGGTGTGTGCACCTTAGCTTGGTGGCCTCCCAAAGACGTGGGTCCCATTCAGTCCTGGGAAACACACTGAGATAGTCACACTCCCTAAAAGACTTACCACCAAAAGCAAAGAAAATCTGAGAAATTGTCACTGCCAAGAGGAGCCTCATCTTGAGACACAAAAGAAGAACAGGTAAAAACTGACTAACTGTTCTCTGAGTGTAGAGTTTAGCTAAAAGCACTTTGCCCATGCCTCTTCCTTAGTCCCTAAGGATGTGCCACAGTGACGTAAATGTTAATCACAGGAGAAACTGAAGGTAGATACACAGGAGCCCTCTCTGTTGTTTTTGAAATACATCTGTGAATCTGAAGTTCTTCCAGAAGAAAAAGGTTCTTTGTGTTAAGTGACCATAAGAAACAGTGCGAGAGAAACAGAGGCGAGCCCAAACCTGATGTCCAACTGTTCTCAAAGCCCAGAAGCCTTGGGCAGGGGAGGTGTCTAGTGGCTCCAGATGACAAGCTTTTGGGACTGGTGCAAAAACATCCTGGGCTGCAAGTCCTAAAGCTTTGCTGAGCCTTTATCCCCAAGAGAAAGGGGTACAAGCCAGCAGGGACCAACACAACTACTATGCACAAACCTTGGCTGCCCACTCAGTCCAAGCTATGGTGTCAGGGCAGCCTGGCCCAGACAAAGCAGGACACCACACAATACCCCCATGATTGTGAGACCAGAGAGAGGAACAGTTACTCTCTCAATGATCGAGGGGAAAGGGATTCTTTTTTAGTACTTGAAACTACTGGGATCTTGCAGTAAAATAAGTAGTGTCCCCTCAAATCCATATTCTGTAACAGAGCACAGCCCCAGCATGCATGAGGCCCTGGGGTTTAATCTCCAGCACCATAAAAACAGAAATTAAGAAATAAAAAGACAAAGGCAGGGCCTGGAGTAGTTCAGTGTCTGCATGAACACACCCTACTCAGCACCAGCCTCACAGGACTCAGGCAATGCTATAAATAGATTTTCTTCCTTGTGGTGAGTCCAGGGGAGTTCCAGCACCAAGGCCCCACCTTTAGCACTGAGCAGAGAAGAATCACTTTCAATACAAAAATAACACTTTTATGGTTATTAAAGTAATAAGCATTGACTGCAAAAAACATAAAATAAAAAACTAAGATGATACCTAAAGGAATGATGAAGTGGAAGAAAATTACTGACGATCTCGTTCTCTGGCACCCTTAACACAGCAGTAAATAGGTTTTTAATCTTTGTATTTTCCATAATTCTTGTTCATACCTGGAGAGCTACAGAGCCGAGGAAAAGAGAGAGTTTCACAGTGGCCCCACCTGGGATGCACAACCCACCGTCTCTGTAGTCTGCGTTCTGCGCAATAATATACTCCATGGGCATCTTTCCACAGCAATAAATGCAAATCCACACTGCCTTGCTGGCTTCAGGGAATCTGTGCTTTGGACCTGGCATCCTCTACTTAACAGCCCTGCTGCCCATGGATGTTTTGTACATTTCCAGCTTTGCATCAGACAGTGGCCTGTAACCAGCAGGGCCCACTATACTTCCTTACGCATTCACAGACTCTGGTCCAATTATTTTGTGATAATACACCATAGTAGGGAATTACTGCATCCAAGGGTGTGAATATCTTAAAATCGTCCACACCACAGAACCCATCAGTGCCTGATGCCCTCATGCCTGGCTGTCCCCCTTGCTGGTCCCTGCACACCCTTGGATCTAAGCAGGACAAAGCAGAAAACCCTCACACAGGTGGGGGCAGGGACATGGCCCATCACCTAGTTTTAGCTCTTGGTGATGGAATGCACATGTCCCATGTCCTCTTTATTTAGAGTTCATTAATTTGATGACATAATCTGAGAGCTCACTTTGTGACCAGGAAAGGAATGGACAGAAAAGAAAACATCCACAGTGAATGTCCACACCTTCAGAAGGGAGCTAGACAGTGCAAGCACACACACTCACGTGCAAGCACATGCCCCCACACATGCATGCCCAAGGTAGGTAAACTAAGTGACTAGAGAGAGTACAAAGTGCTGGCACATGGTAACCGAGGACCGGAAAATTATTGTGGGAACTGTTTCCCCTACAGACTGCAGGTTCCTCGAAGGCAGCCTCCTTCCCATGTGTCCCTCCTGAACCCACGTCTTCCTCACCACATTGGCCACACTCAGACTCTCTCTATACCGGTCTGCCTACAGGAGACAGCGCTGGCAAGTGCTGAGACAGAGGCCCACACGCTGGGGGTTTGACTTCACACTGTGAGTTTATAAAGCCCAAATTGCTGCCTCGGGGTCTGATCCACACAAGACCGCACTCCCAGAACCTTGCCAAGCTCCGTGTCCCACCACGACTCTTATCCTTTGTCTAGGGCTTCTGGGGCCCAGAAGCAGGGCAGGCTTGGCACCCCCATGCATGAGGCCATCATCAAAGCCCCAGCATGAGAAGGCCGCCCAAGGATGGTGATAGTGTCTGTGTGTACCACCAGGGCCCACTGTAGCTGCCCACACATGAAGGAACCTAGGCTCTCCACTATCACTGCCATTGTGAAAAACTGATTCTGCTCATAAACAATAGGGAGTGACTGCTCACAGTTCTGGAGACCACGCCCAAGATTAAGCAGCTGCATGAGGCCCCAGTTCTGTAACCCATGCTTTCTGAGAATCCTCTCCATTAAAGAGACAGAGACTGCTATGGTCTTCCATACTGACCCAGGAAAAGCAGAGGATCCCAGTGTCCCAGGGTCTGGAAGGCAGAAGAATGAATGGGAGGTGGACAGGCAGCCCCACATGCAGGAGAAGGTCTAGACCTTCCAGACCACCCTCAGCAGCCCAACATTTGAGGTCCTATCTCAGACAAGCAGCTCTTCCCCCTCAGGAGGCAGGAAGGCTTTGGCTTATCTGTGACTCCAGGTGCTTTGTGGCCCTGAGTCCACAGGCATGCAGGCTGGCTCTGTCTCCATTTCATGGAGTCTTCTCTCTGCCTCACACCTTGACCTCGTACTCTTGGCATCTCCGCTTTCTACATTCCTTACTGCCATCTCTTCTGTTTCCTTCTTGTCCCTCTGAACGTCTCTGTCACTGTCCTCTTTCTTCCCCTCTCTCCCTGTCAGGGTGGCCTCAGAAAATTCATGTGGGGATCCATGATCTTTATTCCTACCAGAGCAGCAAAGCCCCACACAATGTCATCAGCACCACATGATGACAATAGACGCCAGTGGAGCAACGAGACATTCATCCTACCTGGCAGCTGGGAGGTGGCACCCCTTCGCACAGAGCAGTATCAGAAGTCACCAGAACAGAAGCTTACGTAGGATCCAACATGTCAGAACATGATGCCCAGGATGTCCAGGTTTCCATCAGGAAGCACTAGTCACATCAAGACCCAGAAAGATCTCAGAGTGAGTGATAAATGACAAGAGGGCCTGACCCTGAGGTGATGAATGTTAGAATCACCTGGAGGCGTTTAAAGTAGCTGTCATAAAGAATGTCGGCGAGCAGTCATGAACGTGCCTGCCACCGATGACAAAACAGAAAGCATCACCAGAGAAATAGAAAGTTCCAGCAAACAAAAAGAGGATAGAAAGAACAACCAAATTGAATTTTAGAATTGTAAGTTACAACCACAAAATTTTAAAAATTCAGTATGTGGTTTCCCAGCAGAACAAGGAAGCCAGAGGAAATAGTCTGCACTTAAAGGTTCAAGGGACCTCAGCCACTTCCGGCAACAGAAAGAAATCTGCTGGAAAATGACACATACCTCAGGGAGTTGTAGACGGTAGTGAAAGACCACACCGTCATCCTCGGAGTCCTGGAAGGAAGGGGAAGAAGGGAGGGAGGCCTGAAAATGTATTTGAAGAATTCATGGCTGAAGACTTCCCAAATTAGGCAAGACATAAACACACAGATTCAGCAACATGCATGAGCCCCAGACAAGATGATCCCAACAAAATCCACAAATCCTCTAGAAATAAGACCACACAGAGAGAGAGAGAGAGAGAGAGAGAGAGAGAGAGAGAGAGAGAGAGAGAGAGCTAAAGCAGCCAGAGAAGAGCAAGGATCTTATCTACAGGAAAAAGCAAGCAGGATGACAGTGTATTTCTCACCAGGAATCATGAGGGCTGGAAGGAAGTGACACCACATTTTTCAAGTACAGAAAGGAAAGAGCTGTCACCCCAGAATCGTATATCCAGCAAGAGCTCCTTTCAGGAGTGCAATGAAAATCAAGACATTCTCAGGAGGAGGAAAACTAGGAGAATTTGTCACCAGAAGTCCTGCCTGTGAGGAATGGCTAGTGAGGTGCCTCTAAATGGAGAGGAAATGGTAAAAGTGGGAACTGTGGACCGTCAACAGGAAGGAAAAACAACAGAAAAAAAACGGAATGGGACTAAATGCCGTAAATTTTCTTTCTCCTTGTAAGTTCCTTATATTAGTTTTGATAGTTCAAGTAAATATTATAACACTGTTAGGGCTCTAAATTTGGGTACAGAAGATATTTTAAACACATTATAAAAACAGAAAATAAAGGAACATAAAAGGAAGTATGGGTCTTCCTTTCTCAAATGAATAATACAAAGATACCAATAGACTGTGAAAAATTATGTACATATAATATCATTCTTCCAGCAACCAGTAAAATACAGAGAGGCACTGTTGAGAAACAGGATAGATCAAAAATGGAATTATTTTTAAGGAGCCACTCAAGTAAACCATAACCAGAAAAAAGATGAGGAGAAAAAAAAACAAAAAAAACCGAAAGAATACACAGAAAACAAAACTAAAATGGCAGCCTTGACATAGTAGCAATTACATTAAATGGAAATTATCTAAATATATTGTTTGAAAGACAAGATGACAGAAGATTAAACCACATAGCCTGACCAGAGGCTGCCTACAATAGATTCACTCCAATGTAACAATACAGGCCGATGGAAAGCCAAAGGAAAAGATGCCCAAACAGTCAATTGGGAGCAGGATTGTTTACTATATGTCAGATGAAGGGGGGCTCTAAGGGAAAATGAAAGAGAGAGAATACACTGATAAGGGTGTCAATCCACCAAAAATAGCAATCTTAAATATATATGTAGCAAACAATAGAGCCTCAAATTGCAGAAGCAGAAGCAGAGAATGGAAAGGAGAAACAGACCAGTCCACAGATACAGTTGGAAGTGTCAGTCTTCTTCTGTTGGCAATACAATGAACTGGACAAGAGTGTAGCAAGGATGTAAGGCAACTCAGCATCAATAGATGCCTCTGTCCAACAGCAGACAGTGAATTCTTTCATAGGCCCACAGAACATGGACTAAGACAGAATACATCCTGGGCCATGAAGTGAACCTTACTAAATTAAAAGGCAGGACATCATGGAGTACAGTTTCCAGCACAATGGACCCAAATGGAATTTATCACAAAGGAAAATCTCCAAACATTCAGAAAATAGTCATGAAAACAATTCATGAGTCAAAGAGGAAATCTCAAAGGAAATTTTTTTAAAACTACATTGACCAAATAAAAATGAAAATCTACTGTATCAAAATTTGTGGAACCTAGATAAAGCAGTGGTCAGAGAGATTTTTTAGCATTAAGTGCTTACCTTAGAAAAGAGGAAGGGTCTCAAAGCACTGATCTACACTCCTGCCTCAAGATCCTCGAAAAAGAAGAGCAAATAAACCCAAGCAAGCAGAAGAAGAAAAAAAAAAAGAGAGAGAGAGCTGATATCAGTGAGTATGAAAACTGAAAAACAATAAAGAAAAGTCAATGAAACAAAAGCTGGTTCTATAAAATGATCAATAAAATGGGTGATTCCCCAAGATGTTCCGTGGGACCTGCCTCCCCACCACTCTTCTACAATATCAAGGGACTCAAGTTCTCTGATATGTGACAATATCAGGGCCATGAGTCACATGTCAGAGAACCTGAGTGCATGTCCCACTGAGTCACCATATACCCTTGACTATAGCCAGGTGCCCCCTGCATTGCTGAGGAGCCTTGGGGCAGCAGGCGTGCTGCCCAACAGGAAAAAAGCAGAGGTGACCAGGAGGCACATGGTGCCTGGTCCCAGCCCAGCCTCACTCAGCAGCATGTGAGGCCGTGCAGGGCTCATGGACAACCTCTTTTTCTGCTCAGGCCAGACAGGCCATGCCTTGTGACCAGCCAGAAACCCAAGGTTGATGAGGGAGGCGTGACAGTGATGACTGCCACTCCATCCCCTCCTTCAGTTGTCACACACTGGCTGAAGTCCAGGAGATAGTTTGTGACCATCTGTGAGAGTGCTGTGGGTGTGGGCAGCAGAGGTCCCTGTTGGGAAGCCCTGACCTGTCCTGACACTGAACTTAGGCAGGGCTGCCTGGCCTCTCTGATTTCCAGAGTGCTTGTCTGCATGCTGGGACAATGATAGTGACCCCTGCCTTTCAGGTGCAGGGGAAGAAAAATGGGGTCATCCAAGCATAGCACTCAGCCCCTGCCTAGAGGACTCCGACTTGCAGGTGGCCACCCTGTCCCTAGTACATTGTGATGATGGCAGTGATGGTGGTGATGCTGTCAAAACACTGCTGGGTGCTAATAGCATAATTTTATTCTCCTGCACTTACCCTCACCTCCCTGCACCATTGGCATGATGCCCAGCTCACTCCAACAGCCAGCTCTCAGAGCCCCCAGACCTCATCCCCACAATGCAGTCAGCACCCACCCCAGGACTCTTGGGCACGTGTGGGCCCATGGGAGGCACTGTGGACTCCGCAGCCCCTTGCCCTTGGCAGGGTCTCCTCTCACACTGATGACCTGAACCTGAGAGGCTGGGCTGAGGTCAACAAATGAAGCCACATAGTGTGGATGCCCAGATGCCCTGGAAGACCAAATCCATAAATTCAGGACAAAGAAGCTAGCCGGATGGGGTGCAAAAGGCCCCTCACAGTCACACCAATGTCAGGAGTCAGCATTGGCTGTCCCAATTTACACAGCACAGAGAGATTGAGCTGTTCCCTGGTGTCCCCCAAGGTGGCCTTGCACCTCAGTTTCTCATCTATAAAATGGAAATAATAATAGTCCTTACTCAAAAGACTGTGGCGAGGGCAGACATAAGGGCCTGTGGCATAACCAGGCCTGGACCTATGCTCACTGGTGGGCCTGACAGCTGACATGGGGATTTCTGTGAAAGGCTGTGTTCAAACTGGACAACCTGTTGAGCCTCCTTGCAAGTTGACTTCCTCATGTGTAACAGAGAACAGTAGTTCTTTCCTATAGGCAGAGGTAGAAATGAAATGGGTTAACATCCACGGAAGCAGGGTTTAAATCTGGTAAGTTCTGTGACTCTTCACTGCTGCCACTGTTCAGAAACGTCCAGCCCCAGGCCTTCACAGTTAAGCACCACAAGAAAGCCAAGGCATGACCATCATGTCCACAAGCAGACCCTCCAACCTGATTCCACTTGGCCTGAAGGAGACATTCTCATTCCATACCCAGAGAGCTTCATCCTCCACATCCTCATCTTCCTTCTTGCACCTCCTATACTTGGTATTTCCATTTGATGAACAGTTTCAATAAAGCAGCACATGGCCTGCTTCCCAGCAAGTCCCTGAAAGAGTGAGGGTGTGCACACAGACCCCTTGGAGGAGCCTGGGGAACCAAAGACACTGCAGCTCCCTCCCCTCCACCAGGACCTGGGCCCTCCTGAAGAGGGTCCCTCTAAGGCCAGACAAGGATGCCAAGGGGAGGAAGCCAGGCCTTCGTGAGCTGGCTCAGAGTCCACTTCAAGTGCTGCCCTCCTCCCATTGCCCAGATGATCCGGAGTCCACCAGCCAGGAAGGCTGCTCTGCACACACTCACTGGTTGATGCTCAGGAGGGTGCCTAGGCCGCATCTGCCTCGTGCAGCCTGAACTGTGAGAAAGTAAGAATAGCGCACACTCTGGGATATTCTCCATACAGTGGCCAGAGTGACCCTGAGGGTGGACACATGCCCTGGCTTCCAGCCTCAGATTGATCCCTGATCCTGCCCCTGCCCCCTAGCAAGTTATACTGAGCCCCTGCCTCCCATGCTGAGCCCTGATCCTGGCTCATCTTGTGCCCTGACCCTGGCCAGGAACTGAGCCCTAATCTTCTCACAGGCAGAACCCTGATCCTGGCATAAGTTAAGCCCTGACATTGGTTTAGACTGAGCCATGTCTCTAGCTATAACCATAAGTCCTAACCCCTGGCCATCTGAAGATTGTGTATGTGCACAAGGAAGAGTAAAGGGACATGGAGAGCCAGGCACAGCCCCTTTCCTGCAGGTCACAGCAGGGGATCCTGGACCCGGGTTTCAGGATCTCAGAGTCACTTGCGGAGGGAGGTGTCACATCAAGGCTGTGCACATGGCTCACTGTGTCTTCACTACTCTCCCAGCGCCCAAGGAGGGGGCTGAACTTTCCACCTGCCCCTCACAGTTGAGCCAGATCGAAATTGCAGAAACGCACTAGAAGAAAACATCTTTCTACCACTGGCCTGCAATGGCAGTCCTGTCCCCACAGTGACCCCTGGCAGTCTGGAAAGTCAGCTCTGTGCAGAAATAAATTTCCAGCCTATTTCAAGGTCAGCCTTCGCCTCTACTCCTCAGATGCTGGCATTTGGACTTCAGGCATTTGGGGGTCAGCAGGCCCTAATGCTCACCTGTGGTTAAGGGAAGCTAAGTGGCCATGGCAGGATCTGCAGCCAAGGGCAGCCCCTTCTCAGGTCAAGTTCTCTGCCTCCCCAGGCAGTAGTCAACATAATGATGATGGGGGTGGCAATGACCATGAAAACTTCCCCCTGAAGCTGACCCCTTACAAGCTCCCTAGGCAACACCTTTCACCAACATGAATTTGTTAGCTGCTGCTAGGAGGTTGGGCAACCTCAGCTCAGAGGAAAACATCCCCACAAACCGTGGGCATCATACCTGCCAGACCTGTGTGAGGTGGACCCAAGATAGGCCACTGCAGCGGGAAGTGGTTTTGGGGACTGGGACTGTCATGCATTCCATGGGCATGTGCTCAGGCCCCACACG